CTCGCAAGTTATGTGGCATAGAGACTGAACAGGCGATCGAGACACTCGTTCTCGAAACAAAGTGTGGTCAGACCTATCACGTCTCATTCCTTAGCATCATGGGCGACACCCCTCTTTGGGTCTCACCCAGACATCGCCTCCACTTCTCCTCGCTAGTTTGCTCACATCATACGTCTGGAGGACGTTAACTTCTACTCATGTGAACTTCATGAATCTTCTTCACTATGATCCACTATGTCCAGAGGTTGAACTCATCTCTTTGGAGCCCGATTCTCCCAACCCTCCTTCCATCTTTGTAACTCTCATCTCTACATCCATCCCTCAGCCTGTGGATACCCCCTAAACATCCCACGTTCCTTCGCCGTCCTCCGCCGAGTCCACACATACACTAAGGAACTCGTGTGGTTCACGACGGACTTAGAGTCCATCGTTCGTGACCTGATTCGAGATTACCGCGTCGTCCTTCCCCCATACTTCTCATACAACTTGATTCCTTCGATATGCAGTGTTGAACATTCTATCCAACTCGTGTCTGACTATCGCGTTCACCATCAGACACCCTATCGACTCTCAATTTTGGAGGCGAAACTCAAACGTCAGCTTGAGAAACTCCTTCAACTTGGTTTCATTAAACCCAATGACTCCCCTTATGATGCACTGGTCCTCTTTGCTCCCGAAGCTGACGGAACTCTCCGCCTCTGCATTGATTACTGCGGTCTTAACCATTACATGATTGAGAATAACTATCTCATGTCTCGTGCGGATGAGCTATTTGACCGTCTGGCAGACAACCACTTTTTTTACAAAGATCGATCTTCGTAGCGGTTACCACCAGATCTGCGTTGCTACAGAGGACCAGTCGAAGACCACTTTCCGATTGCATTGTGGATACTTCGAGTTCACGGTGATACCATTCGGTTTTACGAATGCACCCGCCACCTTCTAGACGACGATGAATGATATATTTAGGGATATCCTTGAAGAATACGTTCTCATGTACCTGGACGACATCTTGGTGTACAATCGTACCTTAGAAGACCATGTCCTACAAACTGACATTTCGTTAAAACTGACATTTTTTTTTTAAATTCACGAAAGTGGACTGAACCAAAATTTCATTGCTCATTGGGTGAGAAAGTGGTTATCTCACTTTGTCCATCAGATGTACCTCAACATAGAGTACCGTTAACATACATTCGATGATCAGATCATCGGGAGTTGCCACAACACCCAATGATCTGATCATCTGACGTCATGGGGACAAAAAAACACTAAAAAATGTTGTTTTTTGGTACGCTAAATTTCGTGAATTTAGAAAAAAAATGTTAGTTTTAACGAGAAGTCAGTTTACAACGCTTATGCAAGCATGGCTTTTGTCACAGCAGGTGACACTATCCCTTCATGGACATTGGCACATGCTTACATTCCTAGGCTCCGCCTGCGACCTTGGGCTCTTCTGGATTTTTATGAAGTTAAAGCAGCAGTATGTTTTCTAGCCATACGCGATGTTCTTCGGGGCTTGGCCTACCAACAAAGAGGGCTGGCATCCTCGAGCAGATTGTGCAACGCTCCACTTCGGTAGAACTTGGTACGCAACAAAAATCAGCTTTGTGCAAAGAAGGGTGAAGAGGAGCTGTAGCAGCCAGGAATAGGAAAACTTAGGGTAACCAATCTTAAGTTTGAATACTGTTCATACTCTTAAAAAAATAAAGAAAAAAAGAAATAAAAAAAAAGAGACGGATTGCACAAAATAGTTAGCCAACTTGGGCGCAAAACACAACAGATTACACAATCATTTGAGGAGTACTGTTCCATAGGGACACTGGACCCGAACTCCAGCACCGTAGCCATAGCCCTTATGGACACATAAAGGCACATAAAGACACTTGGAGATAGATTACACAGAGGGCGTACCTAGTTTGGGTGCAACATAATCACATAAACACAGACATTGACGTGTACAGGGATGCTGAACCCGATTTCCAGCAGGTGTTGCTCCTCACCAATAGATGGAGCCTTCAACACCAGGACCTGCTTAAGGAGGGTGCTCTTATCACCTCGTTAAGCAACACTTCCGGAACGTGAAGTTAAAAATAAATAAATAAATAAATATTGATTTTTGCCACAAGATCATCAAAACTACAGAAGAAGTAAGTCTTTATTGGGTGCTGAGAAAAGACATTGTTGAAGACCTACATTTCTAGGCTCAGCCTGGGACAACGGGCTGTTGAGAATTACCATTTTGAATGGGCAAAGGATTCGGGGAGATGTTGGCTGTAAAGAAGTCAGTCTTCCCTGGATGCCCAAAAGAGCATAGTGGAGTAACCTGTCCTTTTTTTTTTTTTTTTGAAACTTCGTATACGGGAAACCTACTTAACGAGGTGATAGGAACATCCTCAGTAAGTAGGTCTTGACGTCGAAGGCTCCATCTATTGGTGGGGAGCTACACCTACTGGAAATCTGGTCCAGCGTCTCTGTACAACGATGTGAATGTATCTAACTGCTGGAAATTGGGTCTAGCGTCTCTGTACAATGATGTGAATATATCCGTTGGAAATCAGGTCCAGCGTCCCTATGCAGAGGTGTGTTGATACCTCTAATTGCCTATGTATGGGGCTCGTTAGACACTCCCTACGAGTTCCTTGAGCCACACGGAAATTTCCTTGTGGCTCTTAAGGGAAATTTGCGGCGTAGTTCCACTCATCCTTGGGGGCCTCCCCCGAGGATGTTTCCTTGTGGCTTGCCCGCGGTTGTTTTCATTTGGAAATTAACGGCCGCGGGGTCAGTCGTCCTTGGTCCAGCCTCTTTCGTCTGTGTGGAGGAGGCGTGGTCCAACGACGTGTGGTGGGAAACGACATACGGCGGGCGACGCGAAAAAAATATTAACCCGAAGGGCGTCGACATTTGAAATTCGAATTTCGAATGACCGCTGCGAGACGACGACGACGTGTGGGTGGCAGCACGAAGACGATGTATTGTGGAAACGGGCTGAGCGGCGGTGTCACTTCTGTCCCCCGGCCGTTGCACTGCGCGGGCAGGGTCTGGTGGGTCCATCGTCGTGGACCTTCACACACGTCGACCATGCCTTGCAACAGGTTTCCGTGTGAGGGACTGCATCCAGAGAAAAGGGGCCAGCTTTCGACGGGCATCTTCGGCTCCTTCGTCAGGTGTGGAAGGACGACACAGACGGGAGCGGAGCGACGGGTCCGTGTCCAGGTCGCGGCTATGGAGGGCGGCGGAGAGGTTAGATGTGAGGTGTTGACGCCTCATGAGCTGCAGGCTGTGGCGGCGGCCGTGTCCACCATCGTTCTTCGATGCCAGCAGGAGAGGGCACTGGGATGACTGAAGGAATAGTTGCGCGCGTGTAGACAGAGGACATTGACGCAAGCTTAGGATGATGGGCCTGACTACGTGGCAACGTCGGAGGCTGTTGTTTAGTTGTGCTACGTGTTGGGTTGCGGAGTGATTCCTCGAGCGACGCCGAGGTGGTGGATGAAGCGTAGGACAAGAGGCACGTGGGAAGACCTCAGGCAATGCGACTACGCGACAGACGCCTACTTCCGGGATGAGCTATGCATGTCGTTGCGAGTGTTCCGGGAAATCGTGGAGGCGTGTGCGCCTCATCTTCAACGGCGGGTGACGTTCTACAGAGAGCCTTTGCAGCCAAACCAGATTGTTGTGTACTCACTGTACAGGTGGGCCACAGGGGAGGCGTATGAGAGCAGCACGTGCAACTTCGGGATTGGACGAGCTTCAGGCCTGGTTGCCGTCCACGACGTTACTGCCTCGCTGTTCTGGGTGTTCAGAGAGAAGATTGCCTGGCCGGCTGAAGTTCGTAAACTCGTCGTTCTGCGGGCGTTCGCTGATATAGGGTTCCCAATTTGCCACGGTTGCATTGACTGTACGCACATCTACGTGGACAAGCCGGCGAACGCACCATGCGCAAACTACTACAACAGGAAGCGTCGTTTCTCCATCGTCGCGCAGGTCGTCGTCCACCTGGACTTGCGTGTGCTCGATGTGCACATGGGATACCTGGGTAGCTGCCACGACATCAGGGTGCTCCAGTTGTCTAGCTTGTCGCAGCGCGTGGAGGAGGGGTCGTTATTCCGTGGTCCCCCTGTGACACTACCGTTCGACGTAAAGATGGGTACGTCCTGGCGGACAATGGATACCCCCCTTCGGAATGGATGGTCGTCTCATACGGAGGCATCAATCAGCACGTCGACCAGGAGCGCTTTGACAACAAACAGAAGGTGGCGAGGGGAGCGGTGGAGAGGGCGTTCGGTAGGCTGAAGGGCATGTGGCGGCTGTTTCTGCGGACGCACAAGACGAACCTGGACACGATCCTGCAGCAGTCACCGCTGCTTGTATATTGCACAACATACTGATCGACGCTGGAATTCCGCTGGACGAGAATCTGCTATGAGAGGTTGACACTAATGGTGTGCGACGTCGTGTGGACCTGGGGATCGAAGAGCCCCTTAAGCCTGTGTCGATGATTACGTCGACGAGGGAAGCATTGGCCCTGCGGAATGCTTTGGCGGAATGAATGAAACACGATTGAGTCGTGTTCACATAATGGACGGCAGCGCATGGAAGTGTAGTCATTGCAGCACTGGCCGGAGGACAAATTCGTTGTTTCGTCCAACCTTGATTGGGTTGTTAGTGAGCGTCCCGCCTTGAGGTTGGTAGTTTGTGTTGGAGGTTGTAGTTCGTCGGCGTCGCGATTCGTGGATGTGCGTGACCGTTGTTCACAAAGTTTTTTTATTGGAGTTTACGTTATGTATTGGGGATACGACGCACTGCGGGTGTCAAGTGCGCCGTTTCTTTTTAAACAACGGGTGCTGTTCAGAAGAGAGAGCAGGGTTGGTCATGCGGGTGAGTCTGAAACTTGTCCCCCCTACGTTGCATTTTGATGTCTTTTTAATGAAATAATGCACGATTTCGTAATTTCCTTCCAATGTTAATATAGTCGATTGTTAGTATGTGTTGTTATTATTTGTGTTGCTATTTCATTGCGATGATCAATACGGACGAAGATGCGTTGTGGCATTACATGTTCACAAAATGTGTTCTTGGACATCATCTGCTCTATGGGGTTGTGCGCATTGTCTTTCTTCGACTGTTGAAATCATAATCAAACACGGTTTTTTGGTGGCATTGGGAAAACTGCAAAAAAACAAAAAACAAAACAAACAAACAAACAAACAAGTGACAATGACATAAAAAAAAGAAGATGAAATGTGTGCATGCAGATCGAACAAACGAACGACTATTCATTATTAATCCGAACGACTAATCAAACATACGAATGACCATTCAGTCATGCCAGCGAATTGGCGAAAACAACGGACGCAAGATTAAAAAATTAAAGGTGCGCTCCAAGTGCAATCAAGTCCTTTCGCAGCAAGCTGCGTTGACAACAACACACAACACGATAACAAAAATTGAAAACTGTCCTACAACGTGCTAAAACGAACGCCGTCTAACGTCACTCGTCTACTCGCAGCACCGACACGATAACCACATCCACACACAACGACGATCGAAGTCACAAAACACCCCTGCCAGAGTGAACGACCACAAACGCCGGTCGTCTACACACGGGAGCGACACACTGTACACGTACGCAACGAATGGAAAGACCATCACGACCACCAACGTCCAAACGCGCCACCACGAATCGTGGAGCTCCCACGCCGCCACCCGCCGCCCCTTCCGCTTCCCTCTCCCGCACTGCACATGTCACTTGTCCCGCTCCTCCCCCCCCCAATCCCCTACATGTCGTCTTTTCCGTCGTCGTCGTTGTCCTCCTCCAAGGGGCCCGAACCAAACCAATCCAGCCTCTTCGCGTCCTCCGGCCCCGTTATGCTAGCGTCGTGCCCGAAGACGATGTCGCAGGATGCCCAGTCCGGGATGTACTTCGGGTGCTCTCCCAAAGTGGCGTTCACCTTCCCTAGCCTCTCTGTGACGACGTTTGTGGTTCGGATGACGGATCATCAATGCTTGAAGGAGGGATGCATGAACGCAACGAGCGTGGGCTTCGCGAACAGCTTCGCGAAGTAGAAGGCTTCGTAGTGGCTGCGCAGATCGTCTCCCGACATGCGCATCAACCAAATGCTGGGCGCCAACAAAAGCCTGAAGCAATTAGCAACGCTTGAGAGACGGTCGTGTGAGATGAAGCCGCCGTCGACGTTCACACCCATTTGCACCGCAACACGGAATGCATGCGCGATGCATATGACGGTGGACTCCTGGTACGCCGCCATGTCGTCGTCCTCCGGCCTGTCCTCGATGTTCGCGCCCGTGAACCACAGTGGCAAGTCCATGGACAGGTGAATTGCGTGCGCGCAAACAACCGCACTCACGACGTTGCTCCACTCCTCGCCGTACCACATAGCACGTGCAATGTCCGTTGCCACCGACTCGAGCGCATACTGGAAAACGAGATTGTATCCTCGGGGGCAGTTCCCGGACTTGAAGACCCAGCCGTGCAAGATGCGCAGAGCAATATTCTCCACCGCCGCCGCACGGGAGATCGCCTGCTGCAGTTGTGCGGGATCGACAATCCTTGTTAGGCTCGTGGAGGATGTTAGCATGACGACGCTCGGGGGACGGCAGGCGCTTGCTGACCGCTGGCGATGGCGACAAAGTACTCCCGCGTTTCGTGGACGATGTTGTACAGTCTTCGCCCCTCCCCCGTCGTCAAAAATGCTTTGTCATCAACCCACAGTCGGGCACGGTTGACGTCATCCTCCCAATCACCATTGTTCTCGCCACGTGCCACCTCCCGCTCCACAACTGGAAGCTCCTCTCCCGTTCTCGACGTGGGTGCCACATTGCCTGAAGTTCCCGCACCCGCATCAGCGATCCCCCCCCCCCCCCCACCACGCGCGCTTCTTGCTGGATTTCCCCCCCTCCGCCGCGTTCCATGGAGCCTCCCTCATCAGCCGTGTTGCGCGGATGTAGCTGAGACGGCATGGAGGGCAGCCCACCCTGAGGTGGCCTTTTGTTAGTCGCACCGCGTGCCCTGACTACCGTAGCCATGGCGCCTCGTGTGACATTGCGCTGCCGAGGACTTTCCAAGGGCTCGTCATCCTCACCACCGACGTCGACAACCTCCTTCGCCTTCGGGGTATCGCGGGCACGCACGTGCTGCGCCTCCGGAGGAGGCGTCACCAATCTCCTCGCAACGATATGATCTGATGACCGTTGACAACCACTCCCTTGAAGTGTGGATACGATGTCCTTTGGTGCTTCTTCCTCCTCTGCACGACGACGTCGTCGTCGCCGCCTTCGTCAGCTGTCGCCCAAGTCTGCACTCGTCGAGGAGGCACGCTTCCTGATGCTTCTCTCGAATGGAGCCTCTTTGCCTTGGGGACATGTCGACGACCCCTTTCCCGCCCCTGAGTGTCCGCAGGGCCGATATCCCGCTTCTTGCCACGGGCGCCGACTCGCGCAGACATGCTTCGTGCTTCCCTCTGCAGGCGAGTTTGGCGGTCGGATTGGATGACCGGGAACACAACGTCGACAACCGATGGGAGTTCCGCTGATCTGGCGAGAACAGTGTCTCGCATACGGATCGCTCGTGGTGATGCCTACGTTCGCGATGACGAAGAAGAAGCGCCCTCGCTGCATAGAGGAGCACGACGTCCACGTGTGTGAGAGGAGGAGAACGACCCCTGCGGGACTGCTCCGCGCCGGGAAGAAGACAAGACAGATGGGGCCGAACCTCCCAAGGGGCGAGACGGATCCGCGGTGACAAGGACAGAGTGCTCCGCCTCAGATCAGCGCGAAGTCCCCGACCACGTCGTCTATCCACGTGTTGACAGAGCTCCGCGGTGCGGAATGCGAGCGTTGTACACGACGCGGAATGTCGACATGACGAGAAGGCGAGAAGATCCACGACGATGATCGTTGACGACACTGAAGAAGTCCCCGACGAGGAGGCGTGAAATATCCGCGGCGAGCACGCGACAGCGGTCCAGTGCGAGGAGGAGAAAAGCTATGGGGTGTTCTGCATGGTTGTGCTCACTGTGCAGCACGTGCGGCGACCTTCTGTGTTGGAGACGCCAGAAGCGAACGACCTTTATGCGGGACGGGGCGCAGACACCTCGATAACACGGAGCAGACGGACGGGCCCCAACGTCGCTTCTTCGCCTGTCGGCATCATCGACAACGACACATGTGACAACAACATTCCAGACCGCGTTCGCGCACAACAACCCCATTCCCCCCCCCATTCTTTCGCCAACAACCTCACCCCCCCCCCCCCCCCCGACGACCAACGCCGCCCCCCCCACACCACCCCCGTCCGCCACAATCCTCGACCCACATAACCCCTTCAACACATGGCCCTGTCGCTCTTGAGACCGCAAATCACGCATGAAGCACTCTCCTAGAACATGAAGAACATCAAGTAAAAAAAAACAAAAGAAAGGAACTGCCGGCATCGGGTGCCTCCCCTCCACCCTCATTGGCCATGGATTCCCCTCCAGTCCCTGTGCCTGCCGACATCTGACCCCCCCCGTCTTTCCCGTGTCCGCCAAATTCTTTGGGTGGATCGTGTGATCCCTCTTCGTCATGGCCTCCATGTCGTCGTACACGCTCGGGTCCATGACGAAGCTGAAGCCCTCCGATCGCCTGGCCGATGAAGCAAGCTTGAAGTAGTCCTTCCTGCCGGAGAGGTTCTGAAACTTGTGAACCTTCTTGAATTGCTGCATCAAGTTGTCCCATTTCTTCACGCAGTCGATGGCCTTCCTCGTGACGCCCATGATCTCCAACCTCGCCCGCACGTCCTCCCACTTCCATTCCCTGGTCTTCATGTGGGCCAAACTGTGCCCCAACCCGACGATATACACATCTTGATCCCTTTTCACCCTCACGAGTGCGATCGTGTCTCCGACCGACCAGAAATTCCAACCGCCCTCACCATCGCTCCCGCCGGTGTTGTCATCCATTTTCTTATTCCGTCGATTTCTTGGAGTGGGACCCTTCTTCGCACTCGCACCGCTGTTCCTCACCTTGCTCGCAAGGGGCCTAATCTCAGGCAAATCGTCGAAGTTGCAATCCTCATCACCGTCAGCGTCATCACAGTCGAGGGGCTCCTGAACAGCCGCGTTGTCGCCTTCGTCCACGTGGAGCGGTTGTAGCCCTCTCGTTATTGTCTCCGTTCCAGCTTGACGCAACGCCTGCCCGCACTCCGCCCACAATTGCCTGCCGTCGCGTTCAACATGCGCACCTCCCTCAGGCAAATCCTCCTATCGCTGCCGTCCTCGAAGAGTTTTGGATCCGCTTCGCGATGCAGGTGATAAGCGCATCCATTCCGGACGTTGATCCGTGCGCCGACTCCTCCTCTGCCGTGCCTCGACGACACATTTCGATTCCTGCCACCATCGCGAAGCGTTTGAGGTAGACTGCCATCTCATGGCCCGCACAGACCAACGTACGTCTACTCCGCGCAATCCCCATCTGGGTGGGGATTGATGATGCGAGTGTGCGTTGCCGCTGCTCCGCTGCTGCTGGATAACTGGACGCTCAGATCAACCGCTGCATTGCCATCGTCGTTGCACAACCCCTCGTTCAGCAGTGACGTGTAAGACCACGGGCTCTCTGCCCGCCAACCACCGCACGACTGCGTCGGCGCCCAATCCTGCGTGGAACCACTTCCCAATGACAAAGTCGACGACCTGGCGTCTTCCCCCTCGTCATCTGAGGGCGGCAGAGGAATCTCGTGAGAAGGCAGGTGAGCATACAACATCGGGTCGTACGCCTGCTTCGCCACAGACCCCGCACTACGTTGCCGATTTGTCGCTCTTGCTGTCATGCCTGCCGGTCTGCCGCAGGTTAGTCGACGATCCATCCTGTCATCGGGAAAACAAAAGGCACAGCAAGTAAGCATTTGAAAACAATGATAGAACCAAGAGGTCGCACTGTAGTTTGAGGTGGAAATGGAGACAAAGCCCTAGTAGGTGGCATGTACTACAGTGACACAGAGCCTCCGGGCATACCATTGGGCAAGCCTGCTTTCTTTTTTTTGTCTCCAGAAACATCATTTGGGAGGTGTCCATCAGGAAAGAGGCACGAGACCCATCCTAACGGAGGGGCACCGCCAGAGATGCCTCCGATGCATCGTACAGAACAACACGTGCTGGAAACCGGGTCCAGCATATCAAAGACAACATAAGACATACCATAAGATATCAAACAGTACGACCATTCAACATTGATTGGCCATATGGGAGGGGTTTTACAGAAGTGATTGCTCTGAGATTTTGACCCCTCAACTGGCCTGGGTTGTCAATCGATCAAGTTTCCAACCCAGTCCATCTCGGTTATTTTTGCCACTGAGTCAGGTGGCAATTCTGAGACTCCGACCCCTTCAACCAGTCTGGGTTGTTAATGGATCAAGTTTGCAACCCAGTTCAAGATCAAGACTGCTTTATGAGAACATCAAGGGAGCATTATATTTGCCAAAAACCTGAGGACGGGTTAGGACGCCGGCGGACCGGCAAGGCCCGGTCCCTCCGGCTAGACTAGCGCCTGGCGAGGGGAGCTCCTCGGCTGCTAGGCCTGTGCATGCTCCCGACAGATGCGCGTGGCTCCTTTCGCCACGTGGAGTCTATTGCTGGTGACAGGGCTGTCCCACGACGCGCGGGCAGGGGTAGCGCCAGCTGTGAGGTCGACGCAGAAACACAAGACGGGTGCAACGATCTGGGTAAGAGATGGAGTTGGAGGGGGAGCTACGACGTGGATCAGACAAATGGATGATGACCTTGGAGAAGGGATGCAGGCGGTTACAGGTGATCGTGGGGGAGCTGTCTTTGCGGTCACATGAGGAGCCAGAGGTCGAAGGGGGACTGATTTCTCTGGCTGATTGGTTGAAAGATATGACTGACGACATGCTGGATATCATCTGGGAGCTGGACGAGGGGCCGGATCCCCAGCTGGAAGCCTGCATCGATCGGAGGAGGGCAGATGGCATGATGTCTACCTGCTATGCCCTCTTCACTGAGGGTCGCAACCTGCGCTATATGTTTGCGGACCGGCTGGAGGGCAATAACGACATGGAGGATGAGGACTGGCAGGAGGATGGAGCGAAGGAAGACGAAGATAACTCCGACGTCAACAACAACAACAACAACAACAACAACAACAACAACAACAGCAACAACAGCAACAACAACAACAACAACAACAACAACAACAACAACAACGACAACAACGACAACAACGACAACAACAACAACAACAACGGCCACAGCGACAACAACAACGGCGACAGCATTAACAACAACAACTACAACGACAACAATAATAACAACGACGACAATAACAGCTTCAAGAACGACAGTGCGGTCGGGGACGACGGTAAAAGCAACAACAAGGACAACAACAACAACAAAAAAAACAAAAACAACAACGATGACCACAGTAACAGTGGAACTGGCAGCAGTGACCGTGCAACCAATTTCATCATCAGAATGGTGAGTGAGATGCCTGGATCTGACGTGGACAGTGGGAAGGGGATTGGGGCTGAAACAAAGTGGTGTTCTATTCTTTCCCCCTCCAATCTTGATATGGAATTTCTTCTTGCTGTCCGGCTCAGGGAGGGGGTAGGATAGTCGAAGGGATTGAAATTGCCCGACCCACAATTTCAATCAAGAAGGGCGATCAGCCTCTGCTCGGCATGATGATGGAGATATGGCTGATATGGTTGATAAGGAGGCTTAGGGTTTCCCCCATGGATGACATATTTTGATTGATAAATATAAGATAGACATGTTTTGATGATGGCCCCCAAGGGGAGGTGGGTTGTTTGGGGTTTCATGCTTTGCTTTGACTTCTTTGTTGGGGGATTGATGAATATGCGTTTTGTTAGGATAATACTTCATGGACTGGAGGTTAATCATTCCCTTACGCAGGGAACTAACCAATGCCTCGGCTCTTTTCTGAGATATAGGTTGACATGCGAACACACAATAGGGATGCTGGTCCCGATTTCCACCTCATACACATCACATATGTGTTAGGGTTTCGTGTCTTCGTAGAATGACATATTCTCACATCACTGTATAGGGATACTGGACCCGATTTCCAGTTGTTACACACCAAAAAAAGGTTAGGGTTCTATCTGATAGATAAGACATAGGGCCTCGTTAGACACTCCTTTTGGACCCGAAATCGACAAGGAATTGCTCGTTCCACCTGTCCTCGGGGACGATTCTCGAAAACAAATGTGAAAACAGCACAAGGAAATTTCCTTGTGGCGTCCTTGTGGCTACAGCCAATTTTTCCTAACGCCCAGAGCACAAGGAAGCGCGAAATTCGGAGCCGCGAAGGCATGCGTCGATGCACAGTTTCGGTTTGCGGGTGGTCCAGACGTGGTCCACAGAACAGGAGAACAGACATCCCTGCCCTCCACCGTCTGCGAGGCACCCCAACAGCTCCAAACGGTCACCGTCCGTGTGAGGCCTCCGGCCGTCGAATCGGGCGTCGCCGGCCGGTGTCAGGCGGTCTGCTGCGCCGGGCGAGCGTCGACAACGGTCGGAAAGTCGAATGCTTTTCCGCATCGGCGCTGCGTTTGACGACAGTAGTTTCATTTCGGAAGATCGTCGTTTTCGTCGTTTGTCGTCACGCCATGCACGTTGGAGCACAGATCTTCCCTCGATATCTCTTCTGTCAACGGAGTTCTTCGGTGGACGGTCGACCGCTGACGTGGGTTTGTTGCCCTTTCCACGGCCCTTACATGGCCGACCTGCTGCACAGGCTGCCTCTGCTACTCCTCGTCGTCGTGCTGCTTCTCATCGTTTTCTTCTTCCATGTGTGTTTCGTGGGCCTGCTCCCTGTCGCAGCTCGCAAAAGTGTTCAAGTGGGGCATTCCAAACAGTTTTTCCATCCGGTTGACTGCATGCGCACAAATGGCCACTGGGGAGGAAGGCCACGTGGCAAAACACAGGAGTAGGATAAAAACATAATGACTAAATTTTTCTTTGCTACAGCAACTGTAAGTTGCCAAAATCAGCAAGGACACAACAGGTACTAGGGTCCTTGAAGCACGGCGGACACCATCCTGGGTGGGGCTAGGCCAGTGGGAAGAAGGAGCTTTGCAAATCGGAAGGGTAACATACACAGGGGAGAGAAGAAAGCTCAGGAACAATAACTCTAATGGCCATATGCCCAACAAACACTGTACCACAAAGATGTATCCAAGGGAAGCTGGACCCGATTTCCGGCAGGTGCTGCTCCCCACCAATAGATGGAGCCTCCCCGACGGTGCTAGATGTGTCTGCTCTTATCAGCACACCTAGCATCCGATCGGGTTGTTTTAAAAAAAAAAAAAAAAACAGGCACTAGGGTCTTGAACGCAGTAGAATGCCCGGTCATTGTCTCTGTATCTGGACTAAAAGTTGCCCCGAATACAGCTATAATGACAGAGCGTTCTATTCGGGTAATGGCCATTGGCCATTCTGGAATTACTTTGCCTAGCAATCAATGATTGCAGATGTGTTAGTTTGGCAGTGGGATCTGACTGCCTGTCATTGAGCTAGGTCAAGCTGGATAATAAGGGCCTCACTCCACTATTCACCGACTGTGGGAAATGGAGGACATGGTCCCCAGACCCACCACTTCTTACATTCGGTGAGTAGTGGAGGAGCAAGGCCAAACGGCATTCGATTTGGTCGTTGCTGCAGGTCATTGATCGTTGTAAAGGTAGGTAATGAATTATATTTTGTGGGCTTTGCGGAAGACCAGCAAACTTCCACTTGCTTCGGTTCTCTTCCTGTTGGAGTGAAATTACAGTAATGAATGACAAGAAATGCTGAATTATCCAGGTAACTAACTAGGACCTCTGTCTTTGCACATGTCATTGATCAAGGTGCTGAGTCAGAGTTCCATAAGGCCAAAGTCAAGACGAAGTCCAAAAGAAAAAAGAAGACGAACTTCAAGTCCATCGAGATGAATCCCAAGCAAGAACACAGACTCAGGGCCAGGTCCCACCTGTGTCTTATGTTCTTGCTAGGGAAGTGTGAACCCTGGTGGTACTGCTGTGGGTGATATCACCCAAAATGAGGGCCACCCTAGAGCACTGCCTCATGGCATGCCCAATTGCAGTGCAGATATGGAGATGGTGGGATGCAGCTTGGCACTCCCTGGTAGGACACCATCTACCCTGAGGTCTCACGGAAATGAGAGGAAATCCAGGAGGCGCCCTGAAGCCGACCGACCGGCAGGGCCCGGTCGCCTCGGCTCGACCAGCACCGGAGGAGAACAGCTCCCCGGCTGCTGGGCCTGCCTACGTGCCCGACAGGTGCAAGTGGTTGTTTGCCACGTGGTACCTGTTGATTGGTGACGTGGACGTCTCGGGACACGTGGACAGGGGTAGCGCCAGCTGTGGGACTGTCAAGTGAACTGTGTGAGTGGTGCAGCTAATTTGGCCTGAGATGGATTCGGTGGAGGAGCTACAACATCGTGCGGAGGAATGGCTTGACACACTGGGAGAGGGGAGCAAGCAGCTGCGGATGATAGTGGGGATGCTGATGCTGCGGAGGCAGGGGGGGGTGGAGATCGATGGGGGGGCGATCTCTATGGAGCAGTTGTTAGATGATAGGATCCAGGAGATGCTGGACGTCATGTGGGAGCTGGAGGAGGGGACGGATCCTCGGCTCGAACCCTACATCGACTGGAGGCGGGCGGATGATGGGATGGGTGTGTGCAAAGGCCTCTTTATAAAGGGCCGCAATTTTCGCTATCAGTTGGAGAGCGAGATGGGTGACAAGGGCGACATGGATGATTGGGGGGAGGGAGGAGTGGATGCCAGCGAAGATAATTGCGGCGACGACACTGGCGATAGCAACACCAGAAACAACAACAACAACAACAACAACAACAACAACGACAACAATGACAGCAACGACGACGACAACAACAACAACAATAACAACGGCAGCGACGTAGGGGTTGATTGCTGCAACGACACTGGCGACAGCAACATCAGCAACAACAACAACAACAAAAACAACAACAACAACGACAACAACAGCAGCAACGACGACGACAACAACAACAACAACAACAACAACAACAACAACAACAACGGCAGCAACGCTGGGGTTGACAACAAAAACAGCAACTACAACTACAACAACAATAATGATGGAGGCAGTGACGACGATGGTGGCAGCGACGATCATGGCAGTCGCAACAACAACAACAATAACACTCACGATAGCGGCAGCACCAGGGTTGAGAGCGGAATTGGGGATGATATCAACAACAACAGCGATGATGGCGATAGTGATGACGACAGAGGCAGCGATGACCAAGGCAGCAGTGGACCTGAAAAGGTCCTGAAAGCCTCAGCACGACGGGAGAGATGCCGCACGCTAACGTGGAGAGGGTTGGGATTGATAAGTGGTTTGCCATCTCCCCCTCCCTCGCCCCCTTTAACCTCGTTATCTGGTTGAGAGTAGGAGTGGGATAATCGCTGTTGATTGGTGTTGCTAATTGATGTTGAGTGGTGTTTCCCGGCCCGCAATACCAATCAACAATGGAGTGTTAAGGGGGGCCGGTTAGGATCTAGATTGCGGGTGGTCAATGCTTCCCTAGCGCGGGGAAGCAATCAATGCCCCCGCTCACACACATATCATATCACTCATATAGTTTGATTGATAAAGATCATACACTTCACATCACATCATAGTTAGGGTTTCGTGTGTAGATTTTGATACTCACAAGAACACAAAAATCACACACATCATATATATATTACACATACATGTTAGGGTTTTCGGGGACCTGTATAGGGGTGCTGGACCCGGCTTCCAGCTGATACTTTCAGATACATTTCCATCAATGTACAGGGAAGCTGGACCCGATTTCCAGCAGACACATTCTCATAATTGTACAGGGATGCTGGACCCGATTTCCAGCAGGTGTAGCTCCCCACCAATAGATGGAGCCTTCGATGCCGGGGCCTACTTACCGGGGGTGCTCTTATCACCTCGCTAAGTAGGTTTCCCGTATAACGAAGTTTCAAAAAAAAAAAAAAAAAAAAAAAAAAAGGATACCATCTACCCTGGGATGTGCCAACCATTCTGCTGGACCTCAGAACACACTGTCAGATACCCCTGCAATGGACCCCCTTTGTTCTAAACCTGCTCGAATATACACGCCTTCCTGTGCTCATGACAATCTGGAGAGCAAGGTGCAGCCAGACAGCAACTGAGGCGAGGGCGCAGCGCTGCCGGGAGCGCTGCGCCCCGCATGCGTAGGGATGGGCGGAGCGGTGGGAGGATGCGATGTGGGAGCGAACTGTCGTTCACGGTGGTGTTGGCGCGCGGCGATGGTTGGCGGGAGGTGGTAGGATGGGTGTTGTGGCTGTGTGGTTGAGGGTGTAGGGGTCGCTGCCTTTCAGGGCGGCGCGACGTTGCGGCTGTGCGGTGCGGTGAAGGGGGGGAGCGTAGAGGTGAGTTGGTGAATGGTGTGGAGGTTAAGAATGGCCATCGTTTTTTTTCAGGTGCCAGGTGGCGTGCAGTTCCGTGGCTGATGATGCAGATCTTTAGCGACATCTTATCTGATTTGAAGAGCCAGGCGACGTGAAGGGGTGAAGATGCATGGACGCGAGGCGAGAGAAGGTAAGGCACGAGAGAGTTCRGTGATGGGGGAAGGGCASCCAGGTAGGTGGGRCCTGCTGTTCTTGTCTTGTGTTCGTATACCCGTCCCCCTTCCTCAACAWTATGGAAAAGTTAGAGCTAGGGTAGCTTGAACCCCCTGTGGCAACTCGTTGACAGGTTTGGYRAGGKGTGTCACACCRTTTTCATTTTCYTYGASGGATTGAAGATGRYCGTTTATATCTTTGGTGTTAGCTTTGCTTCGAGCTCAKATGCTAGCAGYGGGAGGAAGGTAGTCCTTCTTTCCCCAAAGATGCAGGGGTAGGGTTTGAGAGGTGGGGTAAGTGGTTGAGTTGAGGAAGAAGGGACGGGAATTGGTATTAGTGGATTAGAATTCTGCCCACGCGTCGCCTGGTTTTCTGATGATTCGAAATCTACAGTCTGAGATAATTTCCACAATTTTTCGACACTCGGATTGTGAATTGTCTGATTGTACTCCGATAGTTTTTCTGATTGTTTTCGTCGATGATTGTACTCCAATTGTTTTCTGATCGTCTCCTCTGATCCTATTTTCAAAATACTTTTCATCCTGTGAGTTACAATTGTTAAATCGAAAATCGTAAATCAGACTCTGTTTCTGTTAGGTTCATAATTCTTGAGGCAATTTTGCTGTTCTTAACAACGATCTTAACTATGATCAGGATTATTCTCTTGATTTTAGATATTCACAAGTCCAATTTTGGACATCTTAGATAGATTTCATAAATTGTGTTTCTAAAAATCTTAAAATCCTGAAAACTTCTAAGCGATGTTCTAGATAAGAGTTCCTAATTTTCCTAATTTTCTAAATCTTCGTTTCTGACTATTTCCTACTCGACAAACCTGCGTCGGTAAACCTAATTGATTTCTATTGTGGTAAACTTCGATTCTATTTTGTCTTTTCAGGATGCTGCATCGGTTTAGGGTGGTCCGGATCTGCTATGTGGTTGAATGGTTGGTTTTGGCTGGTAGATCAGGAGGATTCTGCTGGGACGACTCAGACCGGTGCTGGAGTTGAGGCTCTGTAACCTGGGTTACCGTAGGAGCTTGAGGCCTGGGGAGTTATGCCTGTCAGTGCGGCAGAACCAGTGGGTTCGACGAAGGCATTGCCGGGGGTGTTCCCCTGTAACTGTGGGGCTTGATGACTTTTGAGGAGTAGTCGAGGGTGGAAGACACTTCTTCCGTGAGAACAAGGTGGACCGGTTCTGGGGTAGCTGTGGCGCCCTGTCACCCTAGCATGAGGGGGTTTGAGGTCTGCCACGTTTTTGTACGAGGCCTCCACCTTCCCTCCTTTTGCTTAGCAGGTCATAGGCTGCCCTGACCGTTTGCCCTTAGTGTATAGGGTAAGAGGAAGGGGGTGGCTAGAATCGGGTTTGAAGGGTAGGCAGAGGGAGAACCTATCGTTTAGGGTAGTAGGCCTACGAGAAGGGCGGGGTGGGACGACACTGGCCGGTGCTGGAGCATAGCTCTGTGACCATGGGGAGCTTGAGGCCATTTGAAGTTATGCCGAGGGTAGAAGGCATAATCATCCCGTTCAACGTAGCTGTACCTGGGGCGGTGACCCTGTAACCCGAGGGGCATGACAGTTAAGGAAGTTGTCGAGGGAGGAAGGCACTTCCTGCCGGTCAGAAACAGTCAGGTCGGTACTAGGGTAGGTAGTGTTGCCCCGTAACCTTAACGAGAGGGGTATGGAATCTGATGATTTCGGGCACGAGGGTCGAAAGCTTGGGCGGTGGTTCTTCGTTTGTGGTAAGGGGAGATGATGGTTAGTGCTTCTAGTTCGTATCCCCTTTCTTTTGCTTCCTGAACATTCTTGGAATATGGTCAATGGCAGCTGCTAAATTTTTAGAATTTCTCAGAATTATCCAAATGTTGCAAATCTGTACTTCAACAAGAGGGGGTAGTCAGTTTTGTCCTAAAAATGTCTTTTGGATCCTGGGAATCCCTGGCAACTTTGTTTAGGTGGTTTCGAGGCTGTAATCCTCAGTGACCTGAGGCTGTTCGATGCCAGAACGACGCTGGCCGGTGCTGGGGTGTTGCCCTGTAACCTGCTGATCCAGGAGCATGAGGCCTGGTAGAGAGATCTGAGGGTGCTTTGGGGGGGCATTCCACGGGACAACCAAGGGTTGCTGCTGGGACGACGCTGGCCGGAGCTGGGGTGAGTTGTGTTGCCCTGTAACCCAGCAGGATGGGGGGCGTGAGGCCTGGTAGAGCTCGGCAGGGCGTAAGACAGAGTTGGAGAACCTTGGAAGGTTTTGTTAGGGATTGTGCGGGTATTGGGGCTTTTGTAGGACTTCTGCAGTCTATTCCCATACCTTTTGTCAGTAACGGGCAAGAAAGGGATTGAGGTGAGAGAGAGAAAGATATCACGCGTCCTACTAGTGAAGGGGATAGCTGGTAGGACAGAACTAGGGCATAGCAGCAGCAGAGATGCTGGCTTTGCTGCAGTAAGTCTTGCCGGAGTGAGGTAAAGAGGACTGATGGTGGATTCTTGAGTCGTTTTCTGAATATTGTCCAACTCCGAAGTTCCTTGCAAAAAACGGTCTGAAGTAGCTCCAAAACTCTTAGTAAGTTTCTAGTCTCATTTTCATGGATTTTTCTGATGACTTTTCTGAACGTGCTCGTTATGGGACGCTGGGCCCGGTTCCCAGTTTGTGCCAATTTGTGAGGATATGGTTGTATCTATGGGACGCTGGACCCGGTTTCCAGCAGGTGTTGCTCCCCACCAATAGATTGAGCATGTGTTTTGAAAAAAAAAAAAAAAAAAAAAAGAGGTGCTCCCATGAACAAAGAGCACACAAAGAGCACACCTTTGGAGTCCGGTCGATGTATCTCAGTGGTTAGAGCACCGGTTCGAAATGCGCATTGTGGTATAAGGTTGCGGGTTCAAAACTTCGCAACCTCTCGCATGGACACTGGCAGGGCGTTAGGGTGACGCACGGCTGGACATACACAGGGATGACGCAGGTAAGCTATTACAGACACTCCCTGTGCACCACCCAAGGGGTAGCCCATGGTTGTTGTATGCTGGGACTGGGCGAGGGTGGGGTGTCCTGATGTTCTTGGTCTATGGGGTGGTCATCAGACTGCTGGGTGATTTGTACGGTCTGGTTTACTTGAGCCCAGCAGAGCATAGTCACAGACTGTTTCACAATATACGGCTGGGATGACGCAGGTAAGCTATTACAGACACTGCCTGCGCACCACCCAAGGGGTAGCCCATGGTTGTTATATGGTGGGACTGGGCGAGGATGGGGTGTCCTGATGTTCTTGGTCTATGGGGTGGTCACAAGACTACTGGGTGATTTGTACGGTCTGGTTTACTTGAGCCCAGCAGAGCATAGTCACGGACTGTTTCACAATATAGGTCAATAGGTTAGGTCATTTGCACGATTCACATGAGGTCCTGTGTTTGATACCAGCTCATGACTTTGGGCTGGTCATCCATACGTAGTCAAGGGTTGACGCTGGCATTGCAGTTCCTTAGTACGGGATGTCAGGAGTGTCAGGAGATACTGCACCTTACCGCGGGGCCAGAACAGGCTCCAGGGACATACAAGGGAACAAAGGATTGTTAGCTCTCAGACTACCGTACAACACAGGCTCAATAGATTCTCAGGGTTGGCTATCCTCCTAGTATGTAGCTTAGGGTTGAGGCTGGCATAGCAGTTCCTTAGTACAGGATGTCAGGGGTGGCCGAAGATACTGCACCCAGGGATATATGACGGAACGGAGGATCCCAAACTCTCTACCGTCACACAATAGAACAACGATTCACATGCTAGCACTACACAATAGATAGATTCAGTCCACAACTCATGACTAAGGGTTGACTATCCTCCTAGTACGTAGCACAGGGTTGAGGCTGGCATAGCAGTTCCTTAGTACGGGATGTTGGGGGTGTCAGGAGATACTGCACCTTTTTTTCTTTTTTTTTTTGCACCATACAACGGGGCCGAAATGGGTTCCAGGGACACACAAGCGAACGGAGGATTCTCAGCTATCTACTATAAACACACAATAGAATATCGGAATAAC